TACGAACGTACCCACTCACAATTTTAAATCCCTCTGACCAGTATCATGAATTTTTTAAATAATACAAACATGTATAGAATAATGATCATAAAGTTATATTTTACTTTATTAATATGAAATTCACTGGTTTAAGTACAACAAATTAATGTAAAGTTTGTTGATGCTTGTCTGAAATAAGTTTATGGATTTTTTGCTCTTTTCTACGAAGGACATTCGCACTCAACATTATTTATTGATAACAATTATGTCGTGTTTGGTTTCAGATTTGAATAAAAGAAAAAATAAAAACACCCAATGAGTGAGAAAAAGCAATTAAGCAATTTGCATTTCTTTCGTAATACTACACATTAAAGAACGTGAAAAACTTCAAACTTTATTGCATTAGATTTCCTCAAAAATAATTACATATGAGAGTCCGTAGATGTTAAAGGTTTGAAGATCACTGATATAAAGTATTTGTTAATATTTAATTATCTTGATTATTACCTTCAACTCGGAGTAGACGAGCTGTTTGTACAGTACCAATTAGGCCTGAAGTTTTTTGCCTTTTATATTTTATTGTAAACCTTGATGTTTCTTCATTTCTTTTTTCTTTCTTTCTGAACTCTTAAAAAAATCTTTTATATGAACAATACAATGCCGCACAAAAAACAACATTTTTGATTACATTTCTTCAATTAAGCCTATGAAAAAATTCAATATGCTTTAGTGAAATAAATTATTATTACGCAATTACAACAATGTAATTAATTTTTGACTGCAATTTGAAAAATTGTGGACCTATAAATTCCCACTGTCGTCAGTCTGTCCATCTGTCTTTTCTTAATCTAGAGAATGGAATTAGATAGATAAACGACACGATTCTATTGTTAAAGGAAAAGTATGATGTACAGGGGCAAGCCACTACTAATTTGAGGTGAAGAGCATATTTTTAATTTATTCAATTTAAAATATATGATTAAAAATTGCAGTTCGCCATTGTAACGATGTCACAATAAATAATTGCTCGTTAAATTATAGGATAACGATAGATCTTTAAAAAATTCATTTTGTTGAAAATAAAAAATATATATAAATCACGTTCAATTTCAGATAAACCGATTTTTTAATTTACTAAGAAATCTAAATAATTTATTTCTTGAAATTTTAATAAACAAAAAGTAAATACCGGTAAAACTATTGCTTTAAGAGTAATAGCCTATATTTCAATAGATTTTCTATATACTAATTGCTAATTATACATAATTAACTTCACCTTTTATGTATTAGTTGTTCACAAACATCAGAAAACGAAAAATAAATACCACGATTATTCCCACCCCCTCGTAAATCAAAACTATATTTTTGAGCTACGTTGAGTTACAGTAATTTCAAGAAAACTGATTGACGACAAATACCGCGCACAGCCCAATGTAGTGTAAACGGCTACTAGCCATAAACAATAATAATAATTAATCATCGAAGACAAGTCTGTCCAAAAGGGACCACCATTTATTTTGTATTCCAGACTTTACACATACACATCTATGGCGACAGGCCTTCCTTTTTAGGCTTCATGCCGCCAGAGGTAAAAAAAGGCCGTTTAAAAACACAAACATCCAATTAAAAGGAATCGGTGATACACAGACGTCTTACTTTTTATCCGTCTGGCCAATGGGGTGGTTCTGCTTTATATCTACTAAAACAAGCGCTAGAATATGTAGATTTTTTTGAAGCTGCCTCCACAATTATTTATTATTATAAATTACTGATTATTCTTCTTCCTGTCAGCAAATTACTGGAACAGCTAAATTGTTAGCTTGTTGTTGATTTGAACAAGATGCGTAAAGTAAGTTAAGTATTCTCAGAAAATTTTATTATTATTTGTTAATTAACCTACATCTATAAAAATTTGCTGCTCTCAAAAAGATGTCACTCAGATACAATGAACCTCTTGCACCCCCGGGTTGTGGCGGCCTTGTGCCTATATTTGATGTAGTCTATATTCTCAGTCCGAAATTTGTCGTCGGTTCTAAGCTGGGAATTCCATACAAAGACTTAGTTATTGCCATAAAGGTTTGAATTCAAAGTCAATTGGAACATTGGATTTTGATGGGCAGTTCTAATTCATACTTTTTCATTCTGATTGAACTTTTAGAAATCAGACAAATTCTTATTGGGATAAATTGTGTCTGCTTTATAATTCGTGTACATTAGTGACTCACGAAATATTCATTCATTGTTAGCTTGAGATATCGATTAATTGCATGTACTATAATATATTTAATAAACAAACTAAAAAGTAATGCATGAAAGCTCTACACACGAGGGTGGTTTTGTGTTTAACTCTCTTCATTTGGTAATTCAAACAAAAATGTTATTATACTAAAAAGTATGGCCGAGGTCGCCAACCTTTGACCTCACGGACCATTACACTCACAATTTTAAATCCCTCTGACCAGTATCATGAATTTTTTAAATAATACAAACATGTATAGAATAATGATCATAAAGTTATATTTTACTTTATTAATATGAAATTCACTGGTTTAAGTACAACAAATTAATGTAAAGTTTGTTGATGCTTGTCTGAAATAAGTTTATAGATTTTTTGCTCTTTTCTACGAAGGACATTCGCACTCAACATTATTTATTGATAACAATTATGTCGTGTTTGGTTTCAGATTTGAATAAAAGAAAAAATAAAAACACCCAATGAGTGAGAAAAAGCAATTAAGCAATTTGCATTTCTTTCGTAATAATTCTCATAATCTTAGTTGATCAATGTCCAAATTTCTCCATAACCACCAAAATTTTCTCGGTGATCGCTGGTCTACTGCATATAACATTTTGTACCCGTTCAGTTCCTCATTATACTACTATATTGTATCGTATCCTTTTATAAAATTAACAGACTACGTTATGAAAAATAATTTTTAAAACTATCCTTTTGAAAATCCTGCACAGCAGTCTGTGATGCATGGTTCTTAATTCGCATTCATTTTTATTTAGATCGTTTGTTTCACCATTATTATTTTAATATTTCCTTTTTAAAATATTTCTTCCTCTCAGCTTTAACTTTAATCAAGTCTCCGCCATCTGTAAAATTATCAATATCCTTAATATATTAAGTTCTATATAATATACAATTTCGATTTAAGTGTTATCTATATCATTATCACCATTATTTCTTTCTTGTGCCTCTTAAGACGACCTTTCAGCTGTCATTTTGGTCCATTAATGACAGTGTATAGAACCACGATTCTCACCTGACCAACAGGCTGGTTGCATGGCGTTTGTGTTTTCTTCACGTGTCTAACACTTAAAATAGAGGCCAGTTCCCTCAAATCCTTTTGGAAGGCACCCCGCTAGTGTTGGTTTGCTTTAATGATAAGGCAATACATCTATTTTCTCGAAACCAACCCATACACACACAGTATGTTATGTAGGTCTACAGGTCGCTTTTAGTTCTCCCCATTCATCTATGAATCAATCCACCTTTTTATTGATATTAGATATATTTCTATTTAAACTTTCATCTTATAATTATCTATTAACTAAATGTCAGTTCACAGCTAATTTGAAAATTACAATGAAAATTTATATTGATTGAAATAAAATTGAAAATTAAATATAAGTTAATTTACTAAATTTGTAATAGTATATTTAAGCTTATCATCACAGTTAATTTAATTTTAAATTAATCATTTTAAAATTTGCTAGTTAACTTTTAAATATAAATTAAATAGGTTGTAAGTAAACTATTTACAAATTGTTTCATCAGTCAAACATTCAAGATACTTTAAACATTCTATAATGAAATCATCTTGACTCCTCAAGATCATTTCAATTTTAAATTTAGGATAATCAATATACCGTATTTGATTCAATTTTCAAATATAATAAAATAATTTCAAAATTTTAAAAATATTTATTGCAAAATATTGAAATAGAAAAATACATTCAATATGAAACTATCTTCCCAACAACTGTTGCTTATTATTTTGGAGGAGAGGTGCTTCGTGATCCAAATTTTGCCATATCACCATTCAGAGGCCATTTGAGGAATCGATCAGATTTCATATATTTCTTTATGGTGGGCAAATCCTATTTGAAAAGTCAAAATTACATAAAATTTGAAAAATAATTTAGTAAAATTTTAAGTTAAGTATAATAATATATAAAAACTATTTTAATTAACTTGCAGTTGAATTTATTGAAAATTTTCAACAGCAACTTTGCAATGATGAAAGTTTTATTATGAATTTTAAAAAAAATGCTTCTGGATTACTGTTAATTTTACAAAATGAAATTACATGTATTAAAGCAAATCCATATATATGTTACAGCTAAAGCTCCCGAATCAGATATAAGATGGATAGTGTTGGCATTAGCTAGTTAATCCTGAATCTTTTGGTTGAAGCAAGTAACAAATCTATTAATTTTTAAACTTCATATAGATAAAATGCACTTTATCCAAGTCACAAGTGAATAAAACTAACTTCATTCAAAAAAATGGATAGAAAAAGCAAGAACCAAATGTAAAATTTGGGCTTTATCCATCCCATTTTAGATAAAACAGAGAAAATTTCATTTCATTTTAGCCATATAATCAGATCTTTTCAATTCATGTTGGATGGATAAAGCAGAAGTTTTTTAAAAAATCAACTAGAATTTATTTTATTATTAATATTAGTCTATTGTAACTATAATCTATTAATAGGATTTATTATACTGATTTAATTTGCAGATGAAATTAGAGAGACTCATTCATTTGAACCAACAGACTGATTCAATGAACTTTTATTTGCATCTGTAGGGTGCAAATAAAACTTCATTTCATTTCAAGTAAGTGACTGATTATGGGCTATGGACCCTTAGAAATCCCGTTGGCATCATGAGTAATAGTATAGTTGTATCTAAATTAAATACAGTATGTCTAAGCAATAAATTGGAAGGAGGTCCGGATAACTTAACTGGCAATGCATCCACATGGTAAACAGTAGTCCAGAGTGGGATCAAATCCCATTCTGGACTGATTCTTTTCTTCCAAAATTTCTAAATCATTTAATAAATATTAATTTAATTATGAATTATTAAATTTAATAATAGATAGTACCTAACATCTACTTCTAGTGCCAAATTATTCAGTATTTAATAATTATTAGTAGCAGTAATGTAGTCTGATTCAATCCAGTGATTGTTTGGCTTTAATATAATTGTCATGCTTTCGTATGTTTATATATTGTACAGTACATTATATGCTGTATATGTGAATGACAAAGCTAATGGAAACTGTATATACTATAAGCACAAAAACAGGCAAAGTATAATACATCATATGTTCATTAGCACTTCACTTGACTTCATGATTTGTTAAAAAACTCTTCCATCTTGGTGTGTTTTCATGCCACTTTTCTGCCCATTGCTAATATCAATTAGTTGTACTCAATGTCATGTACTGTACATACAGCCTGTTCTGTATGCTGAAACTTACCAGGAAGGTCTTTATGACTTGAAAAGAGTCAATGGCCTTGAAACATTTTGGCACTCCACTTGGACGCCTCATATAACTGAGTAAATTGTCTCTGCTCCGCCTAATGGCACTACAGAATTCAAAGAGATTGTATTTTAATCATACACCTGGTTTGTCACCCAGTAAATCACTGAGGTGTCTGGTCTTATAAGAACAAACCCAAGTTAAATGTTCGAGCTCTGGCAATACTATCCAATGGGGACCCATCCTTCTGCGCTGCCAGGTCCAACTCTCTTATACCCGTTTCGCACCGAGCATTTCAATCTAGATTGTGACCAAGATCGGTGACTATGCCTTGGTGCAACCTCTCTCGACCATTTCAATCTCGAATGAAACAAGGTTCAATCGCGATTGACTCAAGAGAGTTCTTGAAACCGGATCCAGTCATAAGAGATCCCACAATCCAACATGCGCGAGAAAATACAAGATGGCCATGGAATACGTGTTGTGCTATCGACAAAGAAATAAAAAAGATACTGTATTTGGAGAGACGATGACATATGTCTATTATTAGATATATGGCAAGAAAAAGTACTGTATTTATTTCTAACCAAAACCTCCATTTTGTTTGTTGATGTTCGTGACTTATCGCGTAGTTATGTCAGTTTTATCGTCACATGTAATAGCTGGGTTCTTCTCAATGGACTGCCTGTGCGAACAGCATGACATTCGACTGGCAACAGTCACAATCCAGATTGTAAGTAAATTGAGATCGAAGTGAGTCGTGGATTGTGTGCGAACGTAGTATTACATTGACATACAGTTGTGGTGCAGCCTGTACTGCACTTAAGAGTTCTCTACCAAAGAGTGGCCAGCTCTTATAAACAGTCAGCACAGTCACCTCAAATCAGGGGGCTTTTCCCAGTGCATCCACTGAGTTTATAGATTGAAGAGACCTATTACTTTTCTCGTCAATTCCTTTAGTTTCAATAAGTTTCCTTTACTTGCTGCTAGTGTTTTAAGTACTTGTTCAGAAGGCTTAGACCAGTCAATCTGGTCAGCCCCTCGGCAGAAGTCCTCTGTTAGACAGTCAAGTACATAGTGCCTTGTGTCACTGCGAGAGCACTCACAGGAGCAGCAACCATCTCCTTGTCCAAACTTGGTCTTGAAGAGGAGAAACCTCCCATGTTTGTTATATGATGCAAATACTGATCAATCACAACTCATTGGAGTTTGGCCAACTTCAAGCACGAAGGCATAGATTGATCTACCTACCATACTTTGAGTACAGCTCTTTCCAGTATGTCATAGATCTTTGCAGTAGAGTACCTTTTATGTAAGAAGCCGAAGGTTCAACCGTCATCGTTACAAATGGATCCCTGGCCGCCTCCTTGACCAGTTGGTTGATGTGCCTGTTGCCTGGGATCCTGATGTGGCCTCAGATCTACCTCAGTACCCTACCTCTGATCTCCTGTACCAGTTTGTCCTTATGGTACCCATCGCTCAAGGCTTGAAGCGATAACTGGCTGTCAGAGTAAACTGTCACCGGCTCTGGACCTGGATGTTGCAGGATCCACTGGGACACCCCTCCAGGGCCACCAGTTCTGTCTGGAATAAGGATGCTCTCTCATTCAGTGTGACCAACCAACCATACAGTTGTACTCCGTCAGAATAAATGCTGTATGCAGCACCTACTAGGCTACTGTCTTTAGAGCCATCAGTGTATATTTCAACATCACTGTTGGTTCACCGACATCCCAAGCTAGTCCTATCCTATATGAAGTCAGTTCACCCAGTCAACAAATTTAGATGTCAGACACACTGAGCATCCATTTGATAACTGGGTACATCTGATTGCAGTGCTTCGCCTCTAAACCTTTCACTGTTGTCCTGTAGAAGATTGTCTCTTGGCTGACAACCAGAGGCAACTTGGACTAGAAGTAGCTTCCCACCACTAGTCAATGCACTATAGGAGGGAGCTGACTCACAATTGCAACATTAGCAATGTGAACCATAACAATTATACATATATTTTGCTCTGTGTGCAATTTTTGTTCATTATCCAGAAACACCCAAATATTAATTAAACATGATGTTTACATTATGTTATGAAGAACATGGCAATGCTAATGCACATTGAATTTATATTATTTACTGTCATGCTGGACCCTCAAGTAATAAGTACACAGGAAGTGCTTTATATGTATGCATTGAATTCATGTATTTGTAACCATTAAGTCTGTTTTAAAATATTTGGAACATGTAAAATAATTTAATGTTCAAAAACATTCTATTCCAAGCATTCCGATTTTGGAATATGATTGTTCTCTAATGTTAACAATAAATACTATGGATAATATCTATTATAGTAAAGAAAACAAAATTTCATGATTTAATCATGTACTCCAAACTGATTACAGTGTGCAGATAAAGAAAACAAACAAAAACAGTGGAGCTCATAATGCAATTGAAAGATCACCTCCCCCCAGTACATCACGGTGTTGGACTTTAAGTCTCTCTACCCCCTCTATCAAATTTCCTCCTTCCTTTTGTGTGCTCAGGGGCATCCTATTTCATATTGTCAAAGACGACTCATTACACCGCCTCGTGAGGAAAATGGCCCACTTAATTTGTTATAATTCAGTTTTCTAGTTCAATGGCGTCATCTACACTCAAAGAAAAGGGGTTCCCATGGCAACCATGTATCAGTGGACCTTTGTGAAATGATAGTACGACAGTTGGAGAACAAGGTCCTTCCTCAGTTCCTCCCCAACATTCTGTTATATAGGAGGTATACTGATGACATTATTTTTTGGAAGACAGTTCCGGATTTTGTCAATATTATCAACAATAATCTCTATGGGTTAATCCTGGAAGTAGAACAAGATAGCCCCTCGGAGGTGCACTTCTTGGACGTAACTATTAGAGTGGAGGGGTCCGGTATCTACACCTCAGTATACTGTAAACCGGATTCTATGTCATTGCACATACCGGTAGGGGTCATGTGATCTATTTTCTTACAAAGTTGTAGCGTACAAGGCCTTAATGAAAAGAACCTTTACACATTTTTCCAATCCCGAGGCTCTCACTGCCAAATTAGCATTTATAGAGTGCATAGCCATTACACACAATTATCGGCAATGTCACACATTGGCCGATAGAATGTTTTCAGCAAATGCACTCAGGACACAACCCCTTAGTTGACCTGCCGAGTGATAACCAATCCGATGATTTAGAACAGGTCCCTACTACCTTTAACTCGTATTTAAGATCCTTATGCACCAAAGATGTCAGGAAACGCCGGGTGTCTCTTGCATACAGGAAGATGCCTATTTTTGACATGTTACGTAATGTGAAGGACCCTCCCAACTTAACAGACTCCCTGGCATATATAGTGTCCCCGTAATAGACAACAAATATGATAGAGACCTGGTATACATAGGGTCAACTAAGCACTCCATGGGGATCAGATTACAAGAACATCTTGCCAATATACATCATGCAAGAACCACCATGGCCCTCTACATATGCAACAGATCTAGACATCGTAGCAGACTTTACCCGGGCCAGGTTAATCCTCACTTTGCCTCCACAGAACACATCAGATGGTTGGAGGCTGCACATTTTTAAATCCAATTTTACATCAACATAAATTATAAAGAGGAAATGATTTTGTCAATGGCCTGGCAAGAGTTGACTGACAACATGATTTAGCCGTTCGTTGAGTTCTCATAGGGAAACTCTTTACACCAGCATGACGTGGTTTTATTAACTTTTTTGAACTTATATTCAAGTGCTTGTTCAAATTTTATTCCAAAAGCTGTTACAAAGAACCATCAAACAATTGTTACAAAACCTGATGAACTTAGGAGTTTGTTTTTGTTTGTTTTCTTTATCTTCAAGTTACATTTAGTAAGTTAAGCACTTTGTAACAATAGGGTCACTAAATAATGCAAAGTTTACATATATAATATGTACAATATATACAAATATATAACATTTATATATTATACTATTTTAGATATTATATTTGTTGGATTAAACATCATTTAACAGAACTACATACATTTTTAAAAAATAGTAACCTATTAAAATTGTTATTGTAACTTAAAAATTAATATTAAGCTTACTTCAAATCTTGTAACAAATTCTTCTAAATTTGAAAATTCTTTCAAACAGTCTGGTGCAAACAATTTATGTTGAGCCAACATTTCGTAAATTATGAAGTCAGCATGAGAAAGCTTTTAATAACAGAAATATACAAAATTAATTTCATGTTAAAAATAAAAATATTTTCTAAATAATTTATATTTTAATATTAAGAACACTTTACAGATAAACTTAAACAAAATAATATGATTTAAATATTATTTTGCTTACAATTAATATAGGAGTGGTTAAAAATGTTTGATTTATAGTATCTGTTTTATTATAATAAAAAATAATTGGTTAAAATAATAATTATCAATTATTTTTGTGTTAAGTTTTACTAATTCTCAAGGAAAAAACAGCCTAACACTGTCAGGTGAAGGAAGATTTTCAGGTCTTAATTAATTTCTTTTATCAATTTCTCACATTGAATACTGTTGACAATATTGTCTATTGATACAAAAAAAAAAACTGCCAGCAAGTACTATTCATCTCAAACAGTTTCAATTTTCATACTATTCAGTGTTATTCTTTCACCAGCAATTCATGATCCAATCTAGAATGGATGCCTTGTCCTGTTCTGATTTTATCCCTGTATCTTTACACCTAATTCACATTTTTTTTTAAATTACAAGATCCCTTTTCTTTTGCTCCTCTTTCTCATTTGTTAATTTAGAACAATAATCGTCTTACTATTTCTCTTAATTGCCTGATGATCAAATAAAAGAAATATTGAAAAGCAGAAAAATAAAGTTAAATAACAAAACTAAAGAAAAAAAATTATATATATCTAAATATATAAAACTAGCTGTTACCTGCAAGCAAACATCGTTTATATTCAGTATTTCAACAACCATAGTAATTGTTATATAACACCTACCACTGAGAATGATGAGAATTGCTGAGAGTCAAACAAACTGTTTTAAAATTTGATCAATTTTCTGGAACGTTTACAATCGTTCTATAATCCAACCAATTCGCAATAACAAATTCAAATTTAAAACAGTTCAAACATTTGGTTAAAAAAAATTAATATATAAAAATATTTATAACAATGTCTGAAATGTTATCAATTTAATACACCTAAGTACTCAATGAAGACTAAATGTAGTTGAAAACAAAACAAAATTGCATCTAAAATAGTACAGTAGAAGCTGTTCTTCAAGGTAAGCCTTAATCCCCTCCCCCAATGGGGAATTTCGAAAAATTTCTTCTTATGTACATCATCAAAACGTGCACTAACTGTGGACCAAATTTCACTTCTTTAGGTTAGCGGTTTGCTCTGGGCAATGATGAATCAATCAATGTCAGTCAGTCAGGACAAGTAATTTTATATACAGTAGAGCATCGATTATCCGAATCAATTGGGGACTGGGGTTGTTTGGAAAATTGATATTTCAGATAACCGATTATGTATGAAAAAATATAATAACCTATCCCATGTTGAAATTTTTCTCCATTGCATGTTGCTTCGCGTTGAATTTTCGTCGATGTTAAGCCTAACGAAGACTATTGTATGGTTAAAAATTATTTTTTTTATTTTGTACAAACAAAATAAATATATTGAAAAATGTAAAAACAANTCGTTAAAAATTATTTTTTTATTTTGTACAAACAAAATAAATATATTGAAAAATATAAAAACAATAAAAGATTATACTTCAGAAGTTAATTTAGTAACAAAAACGTAAAATATTTGAGTAGCCCAAAAAATAGCCAAAGATTGCAACGCCACAGCACTTGCAAAAATTTAAATTTGCCCACTGGAATTCTTCGGGTAATTGGCTTTCGGATAATCAACGCTATACTGTATTTAGATTACTTTTCCTGATTGACTGACTCATCATCACCCAGAGCAAACTACTGAACCTAAAGAGGTGAAATTTGGTACACAGTGTGTGTTTTTATGACGTACCTTAAGAAATTTTTTGAAATTCCCCAGTGGGGATTAAGGCTTACCCTGAAAACAACTTCTACTGTACTATTTTAGATGCAATTTTTTTTTTATTTTCGTTTTCAACTACATTTAGTCTTCATTGAGTACTTAGGTGTATTGATAACATTTCAGACATTGTTATAAATATTTTTATATATATTAATTTTTTTTAACCAAATGTTTGAACCGTTTTAAATTTGAATTTGTTATTGCGAATTGGTTGGATTATAGAACGATTGTAAACGTTCCAGAAAATTGATCATATTTTAAAACAGTTTGTTTGACTCTCAGCAATTCTCATCATTCTCAGTGGTAGGTGTTATATAACAATTACTATGGTTGTTGAAATACTGAATATAAATGGTGTTTGCTTGCAAAATCCACATTAGCAAAGTTGCAGATAACAGCTAGTACATATACTATACATAGTAAGGCCCCACTTAATGCGGGGGATGCGTTCCTAGACAACAAAGCGCTAAGAAAAACAGCATTAAACAAGGTCATTTTAACAGAGTAAATAAGGATAGGGGTTCACACAACCAAAAATAAACAAATTTTACTTTAAGTTATTTTTATATTAAATTGTATAATAATATATGTTAAATAACACAAACATATGCACACAGAAATGTAAAGTTCATTTTTTTGTGACAAAGGTCCTGACTTTTCTGAAATTCTTGTTCTTTTGCAATAAAGTTGTGAAGTTTCATTTGTCGCTTTTTTCTTTCCTTAAGAAAATGTCGGTAGCAGAAGATCGCATCCAAAACACCTCATTTTGCTTTTGTACTCCTTTCAAAATCTGAATCATTCGCTACAATTTGATCAACGATTTCAGTTATTTTACCAACTGTAGAGAATTTTTTGGGGTTTTGTTTTCAGAATCTGTGTTTTCCAGTTCCACATGAATTCCATGTTCTGCCAGTTCTTGAAGGTTGTTGGTAAGGCTCTCACCAGAAACCGTCTGTAACTCCTCAATATCCTGCTCGTCTATATCTGCTAGTCCTGCTATATCAATTAGGTTGAGTTTGGTCAGCCTAACTATAAAGCAATAGGCTCTTCTCATTGAGAATTCTTGGACACCTTCAGCCATAACTTCTTCCACACTTTGTTCATGCATTTATCAGTTAATTCTTGCCAAGCAAAGTCACTATTTCCTATGGCATGCATGATGTTATATTTTTTCCAAAATTGCACCAAACAAAACATAGATTTTAAAGAAAGTACATCTTTTTTTTCCACCTTTTGCTGATTGGTTTATATTCGCAAATAATCATATTATATACAAATCAATGAAATGCCATGATAATTTAAAATCAGCATAAATTTTAAGCTTTTTTTAGGTTTTGAGCAGACCGTGTTATATCGAATCAATGTTAAGCAAGGCACATACTGTATATAAATATATATTACTTAAATTATATACACACAAAACAATACAGTACAAATTATGTTAGCATATCTCAAAATACAAACAAACCAAACCAAAATATTAATAATAAAATTATATACTTTTTATATATTTATTGATCAAGTACCATGTGATACAGTGGATCTTTAAATAATGTTATTAACTTATAAAATATTGCACGTTAACATTACTTGATTTTGCATATGTAAATTGATTAACTGATGAAAAATTTTCAGTTACCTACTATAAAAAAAAAAAAGGCTTATAAAAAAGATTATTGTTGCTTTTAAATTATAGTATTAAAAAGTAATAATAATAATATTTTTTACTAGTATAAATTTAAAAACTAATGCAATGCAAACATTGCATTAGTTTTTAAATTACATGGAGGTGTCTTCTGTACATAATTTGTGTGTAATATAATAAATATACAGTAGTAAGCCTTACATAATTTTCTTACTAGTTATTCATTCCAGTTGTAATTTTGGACTTTAAATATATACTGTATATTAAACACAATGTAAAGACTACATATATACAGTAATACCCTGACTTATGCAAACCCAGAGTTACGCGATTTTCAAATCTCGTCAATTTGTCTTTCGTTTGAGTGCCACACAACCCTTGATTACTCACTCCCCCCACACTATTGTTCAGCTTACATGTTCAAATGTGTCGCGCGGAATCCACACATAGCTACAATTTATTTTGTGTTACTTATTTCTGTGTTTGTTATATCTACGGAGACTCGAGAGACTCTACTATGTCATCCAAACGAAGTAGAACTAATTCTTCTGCATCAAACAAGAAAAGAAAAACTTTATCTTTGGAATGTAAAGTTAACATTGGGTATGTTCGTAAAGTCGAACGAGTTAAGCGAGAATGAAGTCATCGTTATTCCTATTTCGTTAGACTTTTCGAACGATTCGTTACTAACGCGTTTAACTCGTTTGACTTTACGAACGTACCCATTATTAAAGACTTCGATACAAAAATGAAAATTTGTGAATTGGCAAAGAAGTTTGATCTACCGGAATTGTCGGTCAGAACAATTATAAAAGGCAAAGAAAAAATTCTCGAAGCTGTGAAAAATGCTCAATCTTTAAATTCAAGCATCATTCGTAAACGTCACAGTATTATCATTGAGATGGAAACAATGTTAAAATTATGGCGTAATAATCAAGTAAATGTGAAAAATTGTAAAATAATATAGGCCTAATTTGTTATACATATGTATTATCTAAGATTTTATTAAACATATTTTTCTAAGTTATTGTTTTCTTTAGTCTCCGGCCCCAATTAAAAATTATTTGTATGTATTTATATGCGACATTATACCCCGACTTACACGAATTCGACTTAGGTGGTTGCTGCTCGGTCCCACCTATCGCGTAAGTTTGGGGCATTACTGTATTGTATATATGTAGTCTTTACCTATTGCTGTCTATAAAGTTTGATGAAAAATTAAAATTAGATAGTTTTGTATTTAAATTTAACTTCAGATATTGCATTAACATTTAAAGAAACAATATATATCAATATATTTGCATAAAACTTTTCACTTACATTATTGCCAGCAAACCATTTGTTTTTTCCAAGAAAATTAGAAAATAACTTCAATTTATCAGGTAAACTCGTCAGATAATCACACTTTAAAGTTTCCTACAAAATTATTATTTTTTAATTAAAATATTCCTATAAACTATTCAATAAAATATTTTATTTAATGAATAAAAACTGGTTCAATATTACATTTAAAAAAAACAACTAAACACCAAAAATATGTAAAATAATTTTAATATTTTCTTAAAATCTCAATGCATTTTTAAACAAACATAATAAATTATAAATATTTAACATTAATGGCTATTTCATTTATTTTAGACTTCATGAATAATTTTATTTCATATATAATATCCCATTCTACAAATATTTATTCATATATAATTATATAATCTAAAACCTAGTTTAAACCTATGAATTATTTTTCAGAATTCCAACAACAAAAGAACATTAAATGGAATCTTTAAAATATTGTATGCTTTTATGATATGTCTTTTTAAATTGAGAACATTTGAAAACACCTAAATATTTTCCATAAAAACAAAAATTTTATAGCAAAATTCATATTATCTAAATATAATGTCAATGTTGGAAATTATAAGTATACTTGCTACAATCAGTGTGAGAATCCAACCTTAACTCACTTTAATTTAACTTTAACGACCCAATTTTAATCGACAACTATGTCATACGTGCTCACCAATTGTTGTCCTCAGCTACCTGAGAAAATCTCCACTTGCATGTTCCCGATGATGAAACGATGCACTCCCGCGATCTTTTGCCCTTTAGGTCGAGCAAGAACAGACGAATATCAAAATTGATGGCTGAAATAGGCAGTCGTCACCCATTCTTCGAGAAGTGTCATCATCCTGGATTTTACCCCCCCATAATTAACAGTGTCAGTGCTGAATAGGATATCTCCCTTGGACATTGGATAATCTAGTGCCAAAACCTTGGATAACCTTTTCGACAAGAAACCATGGATAACCTTTCTCTACAAGAAGAGGCATGTGGACATTCGCTTCTCCGGGTATTTAGCAACACGTGAACCCCTATAAACTCTCTCTCTCTCTAAATACCACGAAATTAGATTAAGTTCACCCTAGTTTACTTATTTTAATCCCAATCGGAATACTCTCGCATTGTAATATAATGTTTTATATCTTTACAAATAAACGTTTTGTTGACCTGGTCTTTGCATGAGTCACTTCCGATGTGCTGTCTCTCACTCCATCTCGAATCCGTTCGCTCACATACGCGCGACCTACTTTTAAGTCGAACCACCGCAGCTTCCGTGTCAACCGAGACACGGTGGTGTCAGTCCTGACTAGGCGCTAATAGGTGCCAACCCTCCAGTCACAGAATGGATTTGAAAAAATAGACTGTGTCAAATAAAATAGAAAAAGTGTGTATTTTTACAACATTGTTTGATGTTGTAAAATTTTCCTACAAGGAAACAAAAAATTTTATAATATTAAGGCTTTATACTTACAAAATTTGGATTGTAACACAATTGAACAAATGCCATACGGAAATCAATCAATTGTTGCTCAGCCAAATCTATTCTTATTTTTTCTTCTTCAGTTGCTCCATCTAGAAATTTTATTGAAAAATAAAACATTATATCTCTGATTTAAAGAAAATCAGCATAATGAGAAGTAAATATGCATAAAATTTCAGTAAGTTAAGGAAGTTTGAATAAAATTAAAAACACAGCAAAAAGTAATTATGCAATTTGTATCAGTATCTTAGAAAAATTATACTATATATATATAGTGCAATTCCCAAACAGTGTGTGTGTATAAATATACACACACACACACACACTAATGTTTGGGATTATTATAAATGCAATATAAAAAAAAATTTAGTTCCATTTTGTAAGTTTCCCAAAAATGCAAATTTAATGGCTAAGGAGATAAAATCTAATATATCTCAAGCATATTTTAGCATCTGACTTAAATTCAAGTCACCAGAGTAGGAAGCAGCCAACTGATCTAAAAATTGTTATTAATTTTATTAAATTACTAGCAGATAAGCCTGGCATTGCTCAGGCAAAAAGTAACGATAGCGAAGATTAAGATTATTAAATTACGGCCAATCTTACCCATTTTCACAGAATGCAAGAATTAAATCCCCGTTTCCAGACTAAAAAATTTAGATGGGTCTAAAAATATGTTTGATTTTCCACAAAAACGCAAAAAACCGCATCTGCACCTGTAAATCTTGCATGTTGCTTTCTCTTAACACTTCTATTGTTAACACTTCCATTATTACTTAACACTTCCCTTGCTGAAGCCTTAATCCTGTCTCTCCCCCTCAGGATGAGAATTTCGAAAAATCCCTCCTTAGTGTACATTCCTTAGTGTACATTCTCGTGACGTACTGTGTACCAAATTTCAACTCCTAACCGTTTGGGCTCTGCACTGATTATCATCATCAACCCATCTCGATTATATATAGATACATTAGTTTTATATAATAATATTTTTGAAGTTTTTCAATTTTTCTTTAAACTTAACCTTTATCAATTTGAATTTACTTTAACATTTGTTTTTCTCTAAGCTGCAACTTAAATTTTTGCTTACTATTCTGAAGATTATTTTTTCAAATTTATATACTCCAGAGAAGTGCAAATAAAAATTATCTAGAACGTAGCAATAAAAGATTGATCAGCTACAATTTCATACTGTTACAGAGAAATAAGATTAGCAAAGTCTACACAGCAGATACTTTTAACATATTTAGGATTGTTTTTAAAATTTTATTCTATTTCAGTATACTTGATTATAATGAACATAACTAAAATAAAAAAAAGCTATAAAATATTAATTTATGAGGTATTTGTAGAGTACAGTACACTATTTACCTATATGTTTTCTTAAGTATTATTTTAAATATGAATAAACAAATTATCATATGATCTGTTTCTTTTCAATAGTAATTATATTTATTATATCTCTCCTTCTCAGCAATATTAATTATAATATTACAAACACACCTGAATTCTATTTGAATAAACAGAAAAAACTCGGCAAACGTTTTCATTTTGGAACAAATCGTTCCAAAATGGAACCATTTGTTCAAATTTTTATTTTGATTTGAATTTTTGAAATGTGTTAACAACTTTTTGTATATTACATAAATAAACAAAATAAAATAAGTAAAATATGTCACTAAATGTGCTACATATTAGCAAAAATTAAATAACAAATTTTACATGCGTCTAAAATATAACAACTTCTTATAACCTCCAGTTCCTATTTTATGGATTATTGAAACCCATACATTTTTCTATTTTGTATTTCCATGCTGTTTATAATGTATTTGCATCCTTTGCATTTAAACAACAGTTCCTCATTTTACTTTTGTATATCTCTATTTTTTCCATTTCCATCGCAATGGACAGTGAGTGCACCGTTCTTATGATCTTCGCTTCATCCCATTTCACTATCGCTCCATCCAACTGTGCCATGCTTGCCAATATCGTGCTACTGAGTTCTTTATTAACACTGTATTTGTGCTCTTTTACACACACTGCAAGGTTTCTTCTGGTCGCCACTACATGTTCTTTATCGACTCCTATTTGTTGGTTTTCATATGGGATAGTGTACACCCCCCGTTTGCTCTTCCATTCTTATTTTGTCCTTATTGTTCCTTAATAATCTATATATGTTGGGTGCTCGTTTGTAAATTATCTTTGTGTTTTTGTATTTTCCTATTTATGTAATATACAAAAAGTTGTTACCACATTTCAAAAATTCAAATCAAAATAAAAATTCGAGCGAATGGTTCCATTTTGGAACGACAAATGAAAACCTGAGGATGGCCTATCCAAATAGGCTGAAAACATTTGAATAAAGAGAAAAAACTCAGCAAATATAATTTAGTATTGTAATAATATTTAATAATACAATGAATTTTTTATGAAAATAAGATTTTCTACGTACTTAAATTTTAATTATTCATCAGTTTTAAAATGACTAAGTAATTGTAAATATACAAGGATAAAATCAACCTAACAATTTGGAAATTGAGTCACTTATTAAATTCAGAAAAAGATAAGCAATTATTAAATACAGTCGACCCCCCTATAAGATATAGATACGTTCCAATTTATGAGGAATCCGATTTCTTACAAGTCGTTCCAATCACAGCCCGACACGTGTCGAGTTTACGGACTACGGCTGATTGAAAGGTTTTCTTCCATAAAATTAATCGATTCTACACTAATCCGACTCAACATTTCCAAAATACGTATATTTTTTCGTAGTTTTATAGGAATCGTAATTATAGGGACCGTAATTATAGGGGGG